AGCTGTTCATTTCTGTAAGAGGCTCTCAAAATAGCATTAAGAAGTCTTTTTAAAAATATGGTCCTTAAGATTCCTGGGGTATCCCAAGAAGCTCTAAGGGGTCCACAAAAATAAAAATTATCTGCCAGTCTCCATCAAACAATTGTGAGAAGCAGTAGCAGCAGTAGGCACATCAATTTTAATTTTTAATATGGTAAATATTGACAAATGCAACACATACAAATAAAATAAAACTCATGATAGGAATTGACAGACCCATCCATTGGGACTGAAAGCACATTGGACTAAAATGCTCTCCGTGTTCACTTTATGTGTGATATTGTGTGACTTTTCATCTCAGGAAGGCCTTAAATTCAAGTTCATTTCATATGAGTCAGAACTTAGCTTATACATGTAAGCCAGAGTCAAAATGAGTCACTACTTTCTGCATTTTGAGTAATTGTTCCTATTGAAATAAAAATGTTCAAGATGATATTGTATTGTGATAAGCAGATACAAATTATAGGTAAAACTTATTCCAGCTTTCATCTTTAAAATGCAAATGATCCTTTCTGGTATATTAAAGTAAAGAAATGGCTATTGATCATTCAATACATAAAGTAGTCAAAATGATGTAGTTTAACTTTGATCTACTACTTGTGTATAAATAATGCCAAGAGGTCAACTAGTAGTAAATAATTATACTGGACGGAATAGGAAGAAAGGAAGAAATTCATGTTACGTTTACTTTTTTCTTTAGTTTTTTCAACATAAAAGAAATCAGGTTCTCACATTTCATGTTGCTGAAAAGTCATGGAACTTAAATGTCTTCCATTTCACAGTATTTTTCAACTAACCTTATCTAATGTAACCTTTCTTACAGTAATATGATTAGACAAGTGTAAAATTAGAAGGTATCTTAGCTGTCATGAAGTACGGCTCCCTACTACACTTAAAGCTTTCAATAAAGAATTATTGACAAAAGGATGACTCTCTAGAAAAGTAGAATTCACCTTTTGTCTTCTGAAGTTCCAACATCAACTTGACCTTCACACACTGAAACAATTCTGAATTTTGAGAAACATTACACTATATGGAACAGAGAATGTTGTGTATATTCCACTCTTACCTTTCACTAGGACTTTTGGAACCTTGGTGTGGCTTGCACAGAAGGCACTATACAGCTTGAAACGGTCAGCATAATACAGGAAGGACCCACCCAAGGAAAACAACACTTTCTAGGATTAAGAATATATAAATCAGAATGTTGAAATAGATTTGGGGGGTGGGGACAGGCTGCTGCCCTTAGCATCATAAAAGAAATTAAATATTTTCCAACTAATAATTGACAATTTTTTACTTCATATTTACTAAAGCAATGTTTTTTTGTTTATACATTCTAAGAGACAGAGGGTGAGAAAGATCACTTAAAATATTAAATACAAATTAAACATCAAGATATACATTTGCAATAGTGGCAAGCATCTGTAGCTTGGGTGTAGGACGAGGGTGAAGATTCATTCTCTGAGCTTGTGGGTTGGTTTACAAATGTTCCAAAATGTTCAGAAACCAACCCACAAGCTTGGAGGACAAACCTTCACCCTCATACATTCTTGCTAAAAGCAGACGATATTGCATAGAATTGGGTCACTAGGAAGTTCCTCTTTATTAAACTAATCTTTAAAAGAATATGATTGATATGGAATTTTTGGGCATTCTCTTTCCCATACATGGGAGAATTTTCCATTTAGGAAAAAAGAACTTATCCCACTGTAGAATTCTCCCCTACTTCTATATGGAAAGTGGGAGCTTTTCTGGGTAGCTGCATTGTGACAGACATCAGCTCCTAGATTTAAAATCTTATACAAAGAAAGAGATTACTGTAGCTAGGCTGGTCCTATTATTTATTTAATGCATAGTCCTACAAGAAACCCATACCTGTGGATCAAATGTCATTCAAACATGTCACCTTATTGAGATCAGATGAACATTTTAAAAGCTAAATTAATTAAATTGCACTGAAATCATAATCACAGTGAATTGTGGAATTTGCACCCATTGCCCTATTGTAAATTACTGCCTACAGTAATACTAAATGCCATTTTTTAATGCCTCTGGTGTTTTTTCAGCCCTGTTTTTTACTCGTTCATTCGAAATGATAGACAATTCCTGATAAAGAAAAAAAGAAGTGTCAGAGGCTAATAGCTTTCACCTCCACTCTTTCAGCAGGCACTTTAACTACTTTCCTCCTGCTTCAGTGAGTATTCAAGCTACAATTATAATTCAGAAACGTTGCCTCAATTATTTCGTAGGCAGTGGTATGTTAGAGTTGCTGAACTAAGACTTCAGGAAGCAATGTTTTTGCCGCTAACACTTCCTAATCAAAAATTTACATAGAATTAAATATATAGTTACGTATGCCTTTACAGGAATTGCAATTATTCTTTGTTGCAGCTTGCAGTACTAATGTACTTTATTTTTAAGATTTCATTCTCATCAAAGTTGTATCTTAGTAAATGATTGCAAAAACAAATTTAAAAATGTGAAAACATGTTCATATGACTATTGTGGCAGGATTTCTGTTATTAATAAAAGAATTGCAATTAAAGGCTTACTTTAAACTGGTCAACTTTTTCAAGCTTTTCCAGATCTGGCACCAATCTTATTCCATCTTCAAGCGTTTTCAAAAACTCTACTTGAAATGCCACCATTTCAGTCAGATTCCCAAAGAGAACATCAAGCTAGTAAGGAATAAAATATAAAAATCATATTTTTCATAAAAAACAATAACAAAATGTAGGTGCTATGTTAGCCAAGTTTGGCTTTGTTAGCCACTTTAAAAAAATTACTGAAGAATTTCAGGAAAATTGGCTCTTAGAAGTATATATATAAATATACTGTATCTTTTTTTATTTTGACTAACAAACAAAAGATACTATACCTCTTCCTGAGTAAGGAAAGTTTCTTTTTGTAGTGGTTTCAGGTATCTCTCCATTAGACAATTTAAATCCTGAAAATGAAAGATTATACTTTTAGCAGTTTTCAATGAGAAATTTAAAAACTTCAAATTCCAAATACCTTTGCAGGATTTTCAGTCAGTTAATATCCATCATTAATGCTGGATTTGGAACTTTCTTGAAGCATCTATTGGCTACTGTCAAATAAATTCTGTGTTAGATAAAGCATATTGCTTTGATTTGGCATGGAATCATTATTGTATTTTCTTTATTGGAGCATTAATCTACTTCATAGGAAATGTAGGGGTTCTTTTCCCTACTGCAGCCAACTCAAAGTTGCCTGATATAAAGACCCAAATAAGCATCTATATAACTTGAAAAATAATATGACAAATATTAACCTAAAAGTATCATGAATCATCAAAGGGCAAAAGGAAAAACATTGCTATTGAAAACACAACTTGGAAACCTTAAATCAGCCTTTACTAATGTAAAACTAAATACTCTGGAACTGCAACTCCCAGAATTTCCAGACATCTTGGGAGATGTCTAGTTGGGGAAGGCTGAAGAATTTAACATATTGCATTTATCACAGTGGGGTAGATTTTGGGAAAACATTAAAGTAGATTTAGAAAGTCAAATAATATTATATTAATATTACCAAGATTTATATTTGATGTCTTAAAATTGCCTCCACTTAGTAAACATGATAAAAGCAAGAGCCATGAGCAATTCTTTTCCGGTTCAAAACTTTATACTGATTTTTTTAAAAGGGGAATAGTATATTTGATTATAAAATTTATTGCCCTCTCATCTTACAGCATGGTAACTTTAGTTTAGGTAGTTAGAGGTTTGTGTTTACCTTTTTTTAGGGCAAAATGGATTTCTCTCTCTCTAATAAAGAGGCTATTGAACTTACTTTTAAGGACTTGCCAAGTCACAAGGAAAGATCAGTCATTAGAAATATGCATTCCTGATATGCATTAAGAAACACAGGTGGTCCTTGCTTAATAACTGCTTATTCAGCAACCATTCAACCTTACAACAGCACTGAATAAATAGTATTTATGACTGGTCCACGTAGTTGTGATTGCAATATTTCCAGTGCTGGGGAACCAGCTCTCAAGTATGACATTACAACATCCCACAGTTATGTGACTGCCATTTGCAACCTTCACTGACAGTTTCCCACAAAAAGGTCAGTGGGAAAACTGCCAGGAGGTTGCAAATGGTGAAACATGATGTCACGTTTAATAATGGCATAGGATTCATTTAATAAGTATTGGAACTGCCATTTCTAAGTGGCATGGTCATAGGAAATNTACTGAGTCTCTAGTAAACAAAGGAACAGCAGTTAAAGTGAATAAGCTGCATTTTTAACTACAGTCTCATAAAATCTAAGGATTACAGGTTTTAACAATGGTTCAAAGTTACAATAGCCTTGAAAAAAGTTATTTGCATCCTGTTCTCACACTTATGATGATCATACCAAATTTGTGTTATCACACTGCATGTCCTTGTTAACTTATACTTTGACCATCATTGATGCATATAAAACTGAATGCTCTGCATGTATTGAAGCAATGTAATACACATCTAAATATCTGGTACACTTAACCAAAGTGTCCTATTGGGTACCTTTATCTGCAGTCATAAAAGATAACACTTGAACACTTTTCAAGCAAAATCCCTAAAATATGCAATTGAGGTTTTTGCAAACTTATTTATGTATGAAAACATACAATAAACATTTCTTCATCCTAGCCATCATCTTTATCAAAGAGTCACTGATGCTCCATTCTTTATATACTTTCAGATACATTAATATCTCTTACAGAAGTTGGAAACTTTCTAATATGTTAAGAAACTTTATCAGAAACAATGGCAAAACCAAAAGTATCAACAAAAGAAAAGTTAGAATAGTTTACCATCAAGGTGATAATGTTCTTCACTATCAGCATCAGTGAGAGTAAATAGTTCTTTTAGCAAAAGAGGGTACTTCAATATCCTCTGGATTGGTTTGATGAGGTAAGACTCTAATGTTGATGAATGTTGTCTTCTGGGATTCTGGGCATCTAAGAATGCTTTAAATGCTGTGTCTGTCTTAGCTATATTTTGAAAATAAAAAAGATATCTCAAGAAATAATGTTTTAACTAGCTCTACTACAGAATATTTCTACCATATTATTTAGCTGTTCATTTCTGTAAGAGGCTCTCAAAATAGCATTGAGAAGTCTTTTTAAAAAATATGGTCCTTAGATTCCTGGGGTATCCCAAGGGGTCCACAAAAATAAAAATTATCTGCCAGTCTCCATCAAACAATTGTGAGAAGCAGTAGCAGCAGTAGGCACATCAATTTTAATTTTTAATATGGTAAATATTGACAAATGCAACACATACAAATAAAATAAAACTCATGATAGGAATTGACAGACCCATCCATTGGGACTGAAAGCACATTGGACTAAAATGCTCTCCGTGTTCACTTTATGTGTGATATTGTGTGACTTTTCATCTCAGGAAGGCCTTAAATTCAAGTTCATTTCATATGAGTCAGAACTTAGCTTATACATGTAAGCCAGAGTCAAAATGAGTCACTACTTTCTGCATTTTGAGTAATTGTTCCTATTGAAATAAAAATGTTCAAGATGATATTGTATTGTGATAAGCAGATACAAATTATAGGTAAAACTTATTCCAGCTTTCATCTTTAAAATGCAAATGATCCTTTCTGGTATATTAAAGTAAAGAAATGGCTATTGATCATTCAATACATAAAGTAGTCAAAATGATGTAGTTTAACTTTGATCTACTACTTGTGTATAAATAATGCCAAGAGGTCAACTAGTAGTAAATAATCATACTGGACGGAATAGGAAGAAAGGAAGAAATTCATGTTACGTTTACTTTTTTCTTTAGTTTTTTCAACATAAAAGAAATCAGGTTCTCACATTTCATGTTGCTGAAAAGTCATGGAACTTAAATGTCTTCCATTTCACAGTATTTTTCAACTAACCTTATCTAATGTAACCTTTCTTACAGTAATATGATTAGAAAAGTGTAAAATTAGAAGGTATCTTAGCTGTCATGAAGTACGGCTCCCTACTACACTTAAAGCTTTCAATAAAGAATTATTGACAAAAGGATGACTCTCTAGAAAAGTAGAATTCACCTTTTGTCTTCTGAAGTTCCAACATCAACTTGACCTTCACACACTGAAACAATTCTGAATTTTGAGAAACATTACACTATATGGAACAGAGAATGTTGTGTATATTCCACTCTTACCTTTCACTAGGACTTTTGGAACCTTGGTGTGGCTTGCACAGAAGGCACTATACAGCTTGAAACGGTCAGCATAATACAGGAAGGACCCACCCAAGGAAAACAACACTTTCTAGGATTAAGAATATATAAATCAGAATGTTGAAATAGATTTGGGGGGTGGGGACAGGCTGCTGCCCTTAGCATCATAAAAGAAATTAAATATTTTCCAACTAATAATTGACAATTTTTTACTTCATATTTACTAAAGCAATGTTTTTTTGTTTATACATTCTAAGAGACAGAGGGTGAGAAAGATCACTTAAAATATTAAATACAAATTAAACATCAAGATATACATTTGCAATAGTGGCAAGCATCTGTAGCTTGGGTGTAGGACGAGGGTGAAGATTCATTCTCTGAGCTTGTGGGTTGGTTTACAAATGTTCCAAAATGTTCAGAAACCAACCCACAAGCTTGGAGGACAAACCTTCACCCTCATACATTCTTGCTAAAAGCAGACGATATTGCATAGAATTGGGTCACTAGGAA